CTTCTCGGATGATTTGTTATGGACATTGCGGTCCTAGAGATTTATCATATAACGCGGTGTATTCCCATGTTACGAGGTTGGAGGCTTCCCGCCAGACTTGGAATCCTGGTGTGCACACTAAAGGTACGATACCTGATTCCACAGAGAAAGCAAGAAAGCGAGATAGAACCAAGAGAGTGGTTCTGTGGGTGAGTTGAGTATGTGGCTGGCAAGATTGCCGAGCCGGTTAGGTTCATTCACGATTCGTGAAGACGTACCTCCCCATGAGTTAGAGGTTCCGTAGTTACGGATGTGGCGGATACACGAGATTGCACCGTACGCTAGGGCTTCGCTGCGGCGGAGTACCTGCCTCGCACAAGAAGTGAAATGAGAAATATGATAAAGTTTGAACAAGAATGAAATCGAATCAAGAGACTCAAGAGAAAGAAAGCGAGTCATTGCGACTCTAAGAAACCTACACAGAAATGTATTCTATTTTACAAACGAGTGTATGAGTATATTTATAGTATTGCACGAGATTGCATTTGAGTATAGTATTGCACGAGATTGCATTAAAGTATAGTCTTGCACGAGATTGTATGTGAGTATATTATTGCATGAATTGCATAATGAGAATGACTAGCCGAGTTCGTTTATGAGTATGATGGTTTAGTTGCATTTTGAAGTATTGTATATCCAGTTTACATGATGAGAACTTGAAAGCATGAAGATAACTTTCGTATGGTTTATTAGTACGAAATTATTTGTAAGCATGAGTTGCCTTGATAAGTTTGATGTGATGTTTACGTGTTGAAATATCTATGTTGTTGAGTCATGTTATGAATAAAGTGTAATGGTTTTGATATGTCAAATATGTATTTGTAGAACCCTCAATTTTATTTGTATAGGTCTAGTAGAGTCTTAGACCATGATCGGGAAATTATTTAATTTGCAAAAGAGAAAAACAGAGGAAGATGTATGAAAATAAAAGAAGAAGATATAAAGCCTAAAATCAAGAATTTGTCTGGTGAAAATGACAAATTGAAGAAGAAGATGAATGATATGAGTTTCACGTCGCTACTACTCAGAAAGAATTCCCAGAAGAATTTTCGAGGAAGAAAATTAAGATTTGAAGTTTGCATGAATTTGACTTGAAGATCAAGCATCTATGGAAAGAAAGGAGTACATCAAAGATGATTGGAGATGTAACCAATAGACCGTACGGACGAGTTGGAAGATGCTTGATTTATTATGCGAAATGGCTCAAGTTCGAATCTCATGGAGTTCGGTTCTAGTTTGGCTTTAGGAGCCATTGGGAAGCAAATTGAATTGAGATGAAATTCAAAACCAGGAGAAGTCTTGTTTTGGGTCCCAAGAACCAGTCGTACATATGTCATAAATAGATCCAGGAAATCTTTTTGAATCTTCCTTGACTTGAAAGCTGGATGGAAGGATTTCTTTCTTTTTTTGTTTTGCCCATTCGAGTGTTCTTTGACGATGACATCATAGGCACCAGACCCTCGGTCTGTCTGTGCTGTTTCGAATGATCGGGTTTCAACGGCAAGCAGCTAGGGAAGCATTTATTCCCAAGCGATAGAGCTTGGAGTTCATATTGATGCCTTTGTCCACTTCGAGATAGAAATCTACTAATAATGGAAAAAGATATGCTCTTGAACTCCAACAGTAAGTTGATCAGTTACTATCGGTAGGGACGGGAGACAAAACTGCCACTGATGGGCAAGCGATAAGAAGCCTGAAAACGATTCTTACACAAGATACGATGACAGGGAGGGAGTTCGATCAAGAATACAAAAGAGAAATTCAAAGAAAACCCACACCCAGACGGGAGAAAGAAGAAGAAGAAAACTTACAGTGAAGAAATTCTCAGAAAGAAAAATACTTTCTTTAAATCCCAAGAACCAAAGCCGTTCTACATAAAACTGAGACCCAGATATTTCCAAGAAACGTGAGAACACCAGAGGAATATCAGATGAAGTTTGGGAACTCATTTGCATGAGCTCTACAAATGGCTAGATTATCTTTGAACTCATTTGCATGAGCTCTACAAACGGCTAGATTATCTTTTCTGACACTTTGCCAGAAGATAAGATAAGATATCTGACAAAAGATATAAAAATTCAAAAATGAGATCGTCTCTTTCCAACGGGCAGATTCTCGTTACCAGCTATATAAGGATGAAGATATGAAGACTTGAAGATGAGGAAGTGGGGAACTCACGAACAAAGAGCAAGAAATACGAAATAGAGCATAAGAGAGCAAAGAACTCAAAGAGCAAGAGTTTAAATTGGTACTGAGCATACGAAAAGAAATCTTCAAGTGAGAAAAGAAAAAGAACTTAGAGAGCTTAAAGAGAAATATTCAGAGAGTTCTAAAAACAGGGCTAAACAGAGCATAAAAAATCAAGTGTTATACTTGATACTTTTCAAAGAGAGAAAAACACTCGAGAAATCATTCAAGAGTGTTTAATCTTCATCACCAAGAGACCTGCATCATATTGATGATCATCTACAGAGTCTCAGAAGTTGGAAGCAAGAAGAAAACTTGTCTTTGAACAAGTGATATTCCTACAGGAGTGTAGGAAGGGAGGAAAGTAGCACGGAGCTGTGAAATCCTGGATTGTCACACGGAGATGTGAGATCCTGGATTGTCACACGGAGCTGTGAGATCCGAAGCAGCAGTGTCGGAGACACTGAGTGTGATTAGTGCGGGCTTTGTGATCAAAGCACTAGATCACGGAAGAGTGTTTCTACCGGAGCGTAGAAGACGGGGGGGGGGGGGGGGGGGGGGGGGAAGTAACACAGAGTCGTGAAATCCTGGGAAAGTAGCACGGCGACGTGAAACCCGAAGCAGCAGTGTGGTGTCACTGGGCGTGATTAGTGCGAGCTTGGTGATCAAAGCACTAGATCACGGAATTCATTGTATCTTGGAACCAAGAAGTGGTGGATATAGTGAATTGCTCTTGGAGATAAGAGCAAGTGGAGTATGGGGATTACACCACCTCCGAACCACTATAATTGTCTTGTGTACTTTACTGCTTTCTTTACTTACTGCTCTTTATTTGCTTCTCACGGGATATACTTGACACAATCTCACACACACTTATCTTTATTTATTTTCGCTGCGTACCTGTTGAATATTAGGAAAGTTGTCTTACTTTCCTATTCTTATTAGTAGTTTCCTAAACTAATTTAGTATCTAGTTTAGTATATATAGAGGTCCATTGAAGTATAGAACATATATACAGAGAGACAATCTATTGTAATCTTTCATTATAATATATTCTCTAACTTCTCTTGTTCTTTGGTTCTCACATATTTTGTTTCCGCCTAACTGGCGGGTGGTGGTTATTCTCCACCCGCCAGACCTATCAATCCCTCAATTTCAACATGGTATCAGAGCCTACATTCCTAGGCTATTTTTCTTCCAATATTTCCGGCAACACTTATTTTCCGGCGAACCAGTGACTGTTTTCTCCTGTTCCGACGTATCTTGTGGTTGTTCTCCAAATCTTTCACCACAGGACCTCTCGGATCATCGTCGCGAGCCTACGCCTGGAATCTCGTCACCATCCGCCGCCGCACGCGCTGTCACGCGCCACCATCGCCGACGGACTGCTTTAGTTTTTCCGGTCAGATCTCCTCTTCTCCAGTGATTTTGTGATCTCACCTCATACACCAATGGATTCCTCTCCCTCTTGCGACCTTATCTGGAAAATTTAATCGCTTTCCTCCCCCACCGTCATCCTCACGCGCTACCTCTGGCAAGATTTTTCGGTGAAATTTTTCAGATTGTTATTTTTCCCTTCTTTCGACTTGTTGGTGAAATTTGAAGGCTTCTTTGGGTTTGTTGCCGAACTTTTCCCATGGTGTTTGTGTTTTGGTATAACCGTGTTTGTTTCTTTATCTCCGGTATGCCTTATCCCATGGATGTTCAGTTTCAGCACTACTATAAAGACCTTAGATTATTTCCCATGTTTCAAGTAAGGGGAGTGTGACTATCTACAATCGGTGTGCTATCCTTTACTATCATTTGGTATTTTATCTACTATGGGCTCTACTGCGTCCTTTGCTATTCTTTGCTTCCTTTTTGCCTCTACCGCTCTCTTGTGTTATAGGGAGGTTGTTCATATTTAAATCTATCCTTGGTGTGCTCATCTTCATTCCTGAGGTTCATGTTCAATTCCGTCCTCGGTGTGTTCATTCCCAAGATCGTGTTTAGCTTCGTCCTTGGTGTCTTCGTCTTTATTCCCAAGGATTGTGTTCAGCTCCGTTCTTGGTGCCTTCGTCTTCATTCCCAAGGAAGGGTCAGACATAGCGCAATCTCTTTTGAAGTCATCCATCCTAGAGTGCTTATGTTGCTATGACGGTGTTCGTGTTTTCCCTTGGTGCCCCCATTCCCAAGGATGTTCGTGACAAGCTTTGCCCCTGAAGTGTTCATTCCCAAGGGTTGCATTGTCCCTCCGAAGCCATCTCGCATTGTTATCCTCTAATTGCATTTAATTTTCATTTGTAATTTTGAGTGAGGTAGAGTGCTTGTTTTAATCCAAGCTTGGAACTTCCAGATGTTCCAGCTTGAGGGGGAGTGCTGAATATTATGAAAGTTGTCTTACTTTCCTATTCTTATTAGTAGTTTCCTAGACTAATTTAGTATCTAGTTTAGTATATATAGAGGTCCATTGAAGTATAGAACATATATACAGAGAGCCAATCTATTGTAATCTTTCATTATAATATATTCTCTATCTTCTCTTGTTCTTTGGTTCTCACATATTTTGCTTCTCTTGTTCTTTGGTTCTCACATATTTTGCTTCCGCCTAACTGGCGGGTGGTGGTTATTCTCCACCCGCCAGACCTATCAATCCCTCAATTCCAACAGTACCAATCTCTAACAATCTAGTTAAGAGTTTTGGTTTCTCTGTGCCTTAGCAATTGTTGTGCTGTGCCTAAACATTTATTATTTTATATTTATCCACTACAGAGAGCACTTAGCTAATTAGTGCGTCAAAAAATAGAATAATACCCAGGAAAATGTTGCTTCATAATTGTCAAGCTTGAAAACTTCATAGCAAATACAGTCACTGCCTGGAAAAAATAAATGAATAAATCAAAGCAGTGTTCATCAATTAAAATTCATATAAAGGAAACAACCATAAAAGAACGCACAGCAGCATAAATACCAAGAACTAGCAAACTTGAGGGCTGATGTAAGGAAACAACCATAAAAGAACGCACAGCAACATAAACACCATAACCAGCAAACTTGAGGGCTGATGTAGTAAGCGGGAAGTCTAAGAGTCCTACAGTTTTGGCAGCTAGAGCTATATCTGCATTTCATTTAAATCTAATTTTCTTTCCTATTGTCATGCATTTAATGTTTCAAACACTTCCTTTAAACTAGACCTTTCTGGTTAAAAGTCAGATTATATATTATTTGAATCCTATTGGAAGTTGGTTCTGTCATTTCAGCTTATTTTTCTTCCGCTACTGCATTTCAGCATTGTATCTTTTCCTTTCTTTCTGTTGAATGCATACCATTAACTAGGGAACTCCGCTTTACTTATTGAAACTTTTTTTTTCTACTAAATAACTATAGTTCTGTATCATTCTTAGGTAGCATTTAATTAGGATCATGTATAAAAATCGGGCCTATTAATTAATAGCTACTATAATAAAGCTGTTTAAAAGGGAAAACAAGCATAAATAGTGGTTTATATTAATTAATACCTCTTTTTCATCTCCTTGGGAGGCACAGATCAATACATCCTCTAAGATGATTATAACAAGATCCCAGCCAAGCTTTTTCCATGGAATCCTAATACTCAACTTGCCAACATGACCTATAAACATAAATGAAGTTTAGACGCTTTAGTACTCTGAACTCATAATCATGAACCATAAATCCTAGATCATAAACGGCAAAGGAACTGCCTTCACAATAAGTTTTAGACCCCTCATCCCCTTTATAATTTCTTTATTAAATTGGAGGATATTGCACAAGTATTTATCTGTGATAACTCACTTAGCAGGTTTGGGTTTTAGATGAATATAACAAAGCCAAAGGTCACACTATTTTAGTTGGCTTGTAATGGCATCAAAGTATCAAGTGCTGACAAACTTGACTTTCGACCTTTAGCACACATATCAAAATATCTATGCTTCCACCCACCCTCTCCCAAAAAATAATGCAGCTTATAACTTTCATAGTGTTGTTCTTTTAAATTCCCACAATACCATACAGCAAACAGTTGCAAGCTAAGGTAAATTTAGCAAATTGGGGAGAACAAAATTCCATAAGCATAATTTAAGCTCAGATACAGCAATAGCTGCAAGCTATAAGACTATAAATGGAATTTATGGCAAGTAATAACTAAATGGTGTTTTTAAAGCATTCTAAAATGCTTGTACTAGAATAATTAGCAGAATACATGGAAAAAGTACAGAGAATTTACCTTGCTTTAAAGCAAATGGGAACTGAAGGTAATCAAAAGCTTCAAGAATCAGCTTAACATTTTCCAATAATACTCTTCTGCGATAGTAAGATGATTGTTAATGTAAATTTTATCTAAAATTCAGATTATTGTAAGTAGCTATAAATGATCATTATACAGATATGCCACAAATATAACATGAATTAAAAAGTTAAAAGAGAGAAAAAAGTATTAGCTTTATCCTTTGTTATGTATTGCCAACCATCAAAATATTTACCCCTAAACTTTCATTAGAAGCTCAAACCCCAGCACAAAGAAATGAAAATGCCCAAATGCAATCACATTAAAGAAAAGAAAATAAAAAATTCCCCTTCGTCAATTTTGTTACTATTACTTGTAAACCGGAGTGGAAAAGAGTGCTTTTCTCAAATAATCAGCAAGTTACCATTCCACAGAGTAATCTTGAGCTGCTCCGTTTGAATGTCCCGAATGTATTGGCCAAGGTAACCTAATAGCAACTGCCAAACTAAACCTTCAAACATTTCCAACAACAAGCGTGTATATGTAGTCCGTTCCTAGCAGGGTTGTTGAATGATGTATATGTAGTAGAATAAGAGGACCAAGAATACCTAACTAGGAATAAACTATAACCTAATGGGCCTATTTTTAAAAAGGCCTAGGGTTTCAACACTCCATTATTATTGCGTGAACTATGGTCCACACAAGTTGTGTAGACCATATTTTGTATATTATGAAATAATATATATTCAATACAAAAATAATGTATTTTTAGTATATTAAAAATGTACATTGTATTCAGGATGTACATATTTGTGTACTGAGTGTACATTATATATATAATGTACATTCAGTACATAAATAATACATTTAGTATATTAAAAATGTACTTTTTGTTATGGTCCACACAATAATTTGCCTTCAACACTCCCCTCAAGCTGGAGAGGATAAATCATATGATCCAATTGGAATTTTGGATTCTAAAGAAGCGGATTCAAATAATGAGGAGTCCACTTAGAGATGAATAATGAGGAATGTGTCAACAATTTAATCTATTAAACTCATGCCTTTGTTATGTTATTTGTTATTATTTTTACTCGCACTTTGTTTTTAATCAAATCAATTGTTTGTATTTTGATGTTATATTATTATTATTATTATTATATTATTATTATTATTATTATTATTATTATTATTATTATGCTAACATTACACGCAATTGGAAACTATTATTCATGGCATTTTTCATTATTCATTTTGTACTATTCTTCATTTCGTAGTTTTTATGTAATGGCATTTTTCACTTCTCAATAATAGTTTTTATGTAATGGTATTTACCTAATTTAGTACTAATTTGTAATATTCTGTTATATTTTCATAATGTAATCACACTTTTCCTTTATATATTCGAAATATAATCATACGGACTGTTACAAATCATTTACGGATGTGGTGCCATTTTTGCCAATTATTTGTAACAATTTTACAATTTGTATAATTTAACAAATTGATCATTTGTAATTGATATAACTGTGTTAATAATTTATATTTATATACGAATTATATAAAGCTTATTTTGTAACCAAGTATTGCACCAATGTATAGTTACTATTCAAATTTAAATTCAAAAATTTCGAAAATTAAATATTTAAAATCTAAAATCTCTCTCTCTGTTGTTG